AATATGGAAATATGTGATAGGAAAATAGCATATGTGCTATATTTTCATGTAACATAACACCATATATTATACAATATGTACTTTATTATATGCAAATTTCACCGAGAATTGAGAAAGTTGGCTCTGCTTATGCAGAGGATTTTCTTCTAAGCTGAAGAGTTTTTTGAAAACCAAAGCCTAACATTATATAATGTATAAAGAACCCAAATAATTAAAATTGCAGCACAAATGTTTGAGGTTGGATATTAGCAAGAACTTCCTGATCTTTCAAATATTTAGGAAAAGTTTTCTAGGGAGGATGTTGTCTCTCCTCCCTTGAGGGATTTACCTTAGAAACGGTCCTTCCTGGGAGGTTGGGGTTGAACCTGGCTTTTGTGATCTAGATAAATCAACAGGACGTAAACTTTCATTTGGAGTAAAAGGTAAGTCAGAGAGTTGGGCTCTTTCTAAAAGGAAAACTTAGCATGACATGAAGAACTGAAATATTAATTTCCTACTAAATTGGGTTTACCCAACTGTGGTAGTTGTAGCCAAACTATCCACTTTGGACATTGTATCAAACACTGATCAAGCTGAATTTGTACCTGAATGACTGTCCAGACTGTGATTTTTCTGTGGTGTTGGGAATTAGAGAAGGTTTTAGGAAGGTTCTTTCACTGTTGACTCTCCCCTTAGAAGAAGCAGCAGTTTGTTAGATATCCTTCAGGCACTAAACATCTGCCTCACCACTGAGTGTGTAGAGAGGATGGGGGTGGGGGATAGGACAGAAAAGCAGAGCTGGGATGGAGTGGTCAGTGGAGGATTGGGGCCACACCAACCACAGCAGGTGGAGGGGATTATGTGGGGCCCCAGAGACCACTTTCTGTAAACTGAGGAAATGTGTTTAACTAGGGCACATTTCCGCAAGATGTAGAGTGGGGCCATTGAGTGCTTGTCAGACACTTGGGGGATAAGTAGGCAGGGGAGTTCAGCAGGGCTATTTAGGGAGACCCAGAATTTGTACCAATGCTCTGATGCCCCATCAACCAGATAAAACCAAAAGGGGGCTTTTAAAGTCCAGTACCATGTCAAAGAAGAAGTTTAGTGCCTGTTTTCATATAAAATATCCTACTCTTTTTCAAACAAGAGTAAACATAACCAAATGTTGGGGAAGGTGGCAGAGGATGAAAGCCAGAGGGAAACATGGCTAGGGCACTTCTTAATATTTATATTTATTGAATGTCTGGTACTTGGCACACGGTACTGCATCTAATTACATGCTTGCTGAAAAGATTCCTCTACTTACTCATTTAAATGATGGCTGGGGGCACAATTTTGGTGTAAAGACACAAATTGAAATTTGTTAAAATGGCTCTACCAAATATTGGGAGATGGACAATTGTGAAACATCAAGAGTCATGGCACCAGTCACAATAAACATTTAATATGTTGTGAAGACTAACAAATGTACTTTTGACATGTCTTGATGCAGAGGACACTAGAGGTATTTAATTCTTCCATTTATTTTACAGATGGAGAAACTGAGGTCTGGAAAGGGGAAGGGACTTGCCCAGGCATGAGTTACATTTTTTTTTATGACTCAGGGTTATCATGATTGCAAATAATTCCTCAATCTAATGGTCCTTTGCTTTCACTATAATATTAATGAGCCATTCTTCTTAAAAGAATGACTCACCAAGAGCAGGGCAGACTGACCAGCAGCTTTCCGGGCGGCACTGAAACCTTCCCACTCCAACCACAGTCAATTTATATCCAGTCTGTACTACAGGCCATTCACAGTTGGTCCTGACCCAATCAGGAGGAGATAAGTGAGTGCAGCTGCCTGGCACTGCCCTCTAACCTGCCATCACTTGGGGTGGGGGTGGGGGTCTGCTGGCTTATCTGGGAACCCCTCCTCTTCTCCTTCTTTCGCCATAGCCAGCCAGGAAAACTCAGGCTAAAGAGGATGACCCCAGAGATGACACAAGGAAAAAGAGCTAATTTGGAACACTGGCACCTGAATCCCAGTACTCTATGAATCCCAAATTGCCGGGCATTCCTTTGAATTTGAAATTGGGTGAGAAGATTGAAAGCAGGAGTCATTTCCTTTTGGAAATGCATTGCCTTTTTGTTCTGCTGTGGTGGCATCAGATGGTGAGTTCTGTGAGTATAAGAGAGACAGAGAAAGACTTAAGTGCTGTTTGTAAAAAGATTTCCAACTCCTCTCTAATAATCAACCAAGGGAAGTGCTGGACTTCCCGATTCCATTGGATTGGTTCCTTCTCACCCCCCAGGATACACCGAGTATCTATATCTAAACAAGTAAATTGAGACCTTGTCTGGACCCTCTTGGCTTCCCACTCACTTTGGCAGGGAGGAATCAGGACTGATGCAGCCTCAGGCAGGAGCTGAGGCTCCCTGCCGTTTGGGCCACTGATTTGGGTTGGGGAGGATTGGAAGGCAGTAAAGCGGGTCAAAAAATTCTTAAGCATGAGAGGAAGACAAAGAGCAAGATGGCATTATGATCTAACAGTACTTCTCAAACTTTAATGTGCATACAAAGTACTTGGGGATCTGATAAACTGAGATTTTGATTCAGTTTGCAGTGGGCCTAAGATTCTGCATTTCTTACTAGCTCACAGGTAGTGTTGATGCTGCTGGGCTGTTGGAGCAGCAAGGCTCTTAGAAAACTGGAGCCTCAGAGGCCCCTGAGTATTGCAGACCAAGCCACAATCCCAGGATGTGAATTCTCTCCAGCAGAGCAGATCCTGCATTTTTGGCATTGATGAAAGGTGCTCTCCTTTTGACCACAGAAAGCTGGAAGGTGGGCAATTAGCAAGATCTTTCTGGTATTTTTGATCTTTGTAACAACCTGCTCTAGCTGAAAGAGCATTTTTTAATTAGACCAAATTATCCCGTTTGGCTGTCCATAGAAATCAAAGCCCCAGCTGAAATGTCTGTTTCATTTTGTCAGTGTAGAAATGGCTATGTGCTGTGATTTTTAAGATGTTAAACACTGCCTATGGGCATATTTTATGGAGAAATAAACACAGAGCCCAATGAGATGTACAGTGTGGTTTTAATATATTGTATACTCACTTATTTATGGGGAAAATAAGCACACAAGCCAATAAGCTGTGTATTATTACTTTAATATATTGGATTTATTTCATACCTATATATTTTATGAGGAAAAGTAAACTAATAAGATACATGATATTATTATAATAACACATCTAATTGTTCTATATTAATTTATTTATGAAATAAATAAGTGCAATTTAACATGACATAAGATTATTTAATGCAGGAGATGAATTCTACATTAAGACAGTTTAAGGGATTAAATTTCAGCTGAATACAATGTGTGTACTTCCCACACTTAGGGACCAGCTTTAATATATATATATATATATATATATATATATATATATATATATGCTAGGGCCTGTCTAAGTCCTATATGTCACCACCTATGAGGGCTCCTGGCTTTTCCTGACAGTTGTTGCCTCTCGGTGCCTGGTACTCCAAGGCCGGGTCCTGCTGGTCCAGGGGAGAGTCTGGGAGGCCCAGGAAATAAACTGCTTTTAGAGAACGGCAGCATCTGCTCCGGTGGTAGCCCTGCGGTGTCTGTTTCTGAGCCGGAGAAATATTAAATAAACCTGAGGAGGATGGATGGCTTTCCAGGGCCCTTTAAATCTCCAACGTTCCCGGAAGAAACCAGAAGGCAGACGGGGAAGATCGATCCTTGCTTCCCGCTTACCGGGTGTGCAAGTCGTCGGGCAGGGCGCGGTGGGGACTAGGAGATAGTATTCAGATGGCAAATGAAGTTGTTGGCAAAGACAGGTAGGTCTGCGTTTGGAGAAAGCTCTGGCCGGGCTTCAAATCCCAGAGCGAAGGATCAAAAGCCTGAGTCGCCGAGGCCGACCGGGGCCTGCAGACCCGCCGCGCCCCCTCCCTTCCCCACCCACACGAGGACTCTCCGTCCATCGCGCGTCCTCAGGATCCGTTGGGCTCAATTCTAAAATAAACAAAAACTGAAAAGAGGCTCCCTGTCTTCCTTGGCGTCTGGACGACCGGGAAAGGAGAAGGTGGGCGCGGGGATAGAGCCCCTGGGCGGGACTCCGCGCCTCCTGAAGCGGCTGTCATGGCGGCCACCAGCTCTTCCTTCGCCCTCCCTGCCGCCGGGTCCCAGCGCCATTTTGAGCATCTTCCTGGCTTCCCCGTCTCCCTCCCGCTCTCCTCGCTCCTCCTTCCCTCCTTGCAGGCCAAACGCCTGCCCACGCTGCTCGGGCCTCCCCGGGCTCGTCGCGCCGCCGCTCTTCGGACGCTCTCGCAACCCCAAGCGCCCGGGGGTGACTGCGGGAACGGGAGAGCACTGATGTCCGGCCCCGCTGCGTTTTCCACCCGGCCTCATCGCTTGCCCACTTGCAGGCCCGTTACCATGCCGGGACACGGGGCCCTGCTTCCGCAGTAAAGCCCCGACCCCCCACGCCACTCCTTGGCCTGGCCATGTCCCCAGGCCTCGCGTCCCCAGGCTCCCTGTGCTCTGGAAAAAGCCCCCTCCACCCGGCTTAGGGCACCGAAGGGAGAAGCCTGGGCAACCCTCGGACCCCTCCCAATTTAGCGAAACCTCTGTGCACCCCGCCCCACCCTCTCCCGCTACGACTCCGAAGCCTGTTCCCAAGGCCTCCTGTCCTTGCACCCCCTTCCGCGGGCGGCACACCCTCTCCCTGCACCCGCCCACCTTTATGTCTAAGGAGAGGCCGGGGAACACCAACGCAGGGCCAAAGGCCATTTCATCTGTTAAGGGATGGCGAGGTGACCGAGCTTCCAGCAAACCCCCAGTCTTGTCGGAGGTGCAAGCCGGCGGACAAGCGGTGGCCAAGTGGGGCCGCTTTTGTACCACCCGGACTTAGCCCGCCCAGGGCCCGAAAAACCCCGCGCGGGGCCTGAGGGAGCGAGGCCGGTCTAACGGCTGTGGGGAAAAGGGCTGCGTCCCAACACAAACACTCATTTTTGTATTATAAAGACATTTATTTAATCTATGAAAATAATGTACAATAAATACTTTCCCCTTTTCCTATTAAAGAACTTTAATAAATAATCTACAGTCTAAAACTTAAGAAAAAGAGGAAAATAGGTTCCTCTAGTTGTTTTTTTTAAGAAAGCCCCCCTAGAGTTTAATTATTCCTGAGATTTCGTTGGAAGGAGTCTACCAAACGGATTTTTTTCTGTGATTTTAAAAAGACGCCCGAGTGCCCAATATTTTAGAGAAAAGAAAAGAAGTGAATTAAACGCTAATTCAATAATACCTGAATTTTAGCAAAATACATAAAGAAGTCTAAACGACTTAGGGTGGCAGGGGGTCCTGGGGTTTTCCATTAGACAACCGAGGGGTGGGGGGCGGAAGGGCTTGGAGGAGGGGACCGGTTAGGGGAACTGCAGGTCGATGGCACAGAGGGTGCTGGTGAAGAAGTCCAGCTCTTCCTCGGAAAAGGGAACCGGGCTGTCGAGAGAGCCCTGCAGGCTAGGGGAGAGGCCTCCGGACAGCTGGAGACAGGAGTCGGCGGCGAGAAAGTTGAGGTCCGGCAGGAAAGGCGAATCCTGCTGCTCTGGGAAGGCGTCTTCAGGCAAAGGCTCCGGCTCCGGCTCCAGCCCGCCAGCCCCGTGCAGGTCGCAGCCCGGGCTCGGCGCCCTCGCGCCATCCCCGCGAGATGCCAAAGGTAGGGCGCTCGGGGCGCCCAAGGGACCTGGCGCGACCTCGGGAGGGTGAGAGCAGGCTTCCTGCGCCGCCCGCGAGGCGGAGGGGCGGCCCGGGCTAGCCACGGGCTCCGGGGCGGGCTCGCAGGTGTCCTCCAGGGCGCCCGGGCAGGCTGGCTCCCCGTCGAACGACTCTCGGTGCTGCGTCTGCCGCTTGTGCTTCATGCGCCGGTTCTGGAACCAGACCTTGACCTGCCTCTCGGTGAGGTCCAGCAAGGCCGCGATCTCCACGCGGCGCGGCCGGCACAGGTACTTGTTAAAGTGGAATTCCTTCTCCAGCTCTAGCAGCTGCGTGTTAGTGTAAGCCGTGCGCAGCCTGCGCGCCCCGCCGCCGGCCGTCTCCGCCAGCCCCGGGCCATCTGCAGGGAAAGCAGGCTGGGCGTCAGAGCGGGCCGTGTCCTCTTCCCAATCTCAGTTCAGCTGAAATAAAGACTACCCCATCCTCCAAAAACAGTATCAGCAGCCCTCCCCCTTCCCGCCCACCAAAGCGAGCCGCTCTCACTGCCACTGCTTTTCCCTTCTTTCTCGTCCCTCTCGCCGGCACACCCGGCCCACGTCAGGACAAAGCATTCAGCGAGTCGCCCACGGGCCACGCAGGGGGTAGGGAGCGGTTCCCCTTCGCCCCCAGAACCTCAGAGCCTCCTCCCACAGTTCTCCTAGTGGACCCCTCAATTCTGCACTTTCCAACACCGCCTGGGGAGAGGGTTCATAAAGAAAGATTGTTCCTGACTCCCTTTCCTCCCTAGTTCTCAGATTCCCGCTCTTGTCTGAGAGCTGGGGGAAGTGGGACCGAATCTTTTCCCGCCCCCAGATTCAATCCCAGGAACAACACATTGATTCCCCCACACAGATAAGGGTCAATCAAATTCTTTTCTCCTAGCGGAGAAAAAGCTCTTCCCCAATCATCTTCCAAAATCTGCTGTAGGGGGAAAAAATCTGGCCGCGGCCAGGACTGCACCCCAGCGGTCTATTTTGCTTCCTCGTCCCTGGAATCGACGGGGCAAGGAACCCCAACAAGCTCGCCACCTTGTCTACCTCCCCCATCGCTCTTTCTCCCCCTCTCCTCTAGCTGCCCCTCACCCCACCCCCACTCCGCTTACCGACCTGCCGGCAAGCCGACCCCGGAGGCCGGGACCGAGGAGGCGGCCGGAGGAGACGTGGAGGATTGGATGGGTTTCTTGGCGGATTTCTTCTCTTTCATCCAGGGGAACTCGGGGGCAAGGGGGGCGGCGGGGAGAGGCGGCGGCGGCGGCAGAACGGGCCCATCTTCGGCTGGCTTTTGGCTCCCGGGTCTCTGAAGGGTGGAGGCGCCGGGCTGCAGGCTGGGGAAGGTTTGCTCGAAAGGAGGAGGAGGAGGAATTAATGTCGACTCCTTGATTGATGAAGTTTGAAATGTCTCCAAGACAGCGGGGAAGGAAGTCAGACACTCGGCGAGCGATGGCTGGCTGTTTATAAACCCAATCTCCCTCTCAAATTCAAAATTCATGGCTTTCAATGGTGGGGGAGGGGGCCTGCTGGGGGGGGCGTCAGGAGGGAGGATCGGAAGGGACCCCCCCTCCTGCCCCCCCCAGGTTTATGTGATGGAGCGATTTTGGGAGGGGGAGATTTCGCTCGCGATTTTGTTTTTTTTGTTTTTTTTTTAATTTTGGGCCTTTATAATTGTATATTGCTGATAAATACAAGCGTATGGGGACTCTCTCTATTAAACCCAGGACTCCAGCGAAATTGCAGGGAATTCGTGGTCACGGGACCTGCCTCGGCCAATCGCTCGTCTGGGCCTGGTGGAAAACAGAGAGCATTATTTGCTTTAATTGATTCAAAAACTCTAGAGGACCCCGACCTGGACACCATGAGCCCCCCAGTCCTTCACGCCCTCTCTCCAATGCCTCCCTTTCTCCAGGAAAGATAGAGAACCTTTCCCTCATCCCCTTCAGAGGGTGGGAGGTTCTGGAAGCCCCAGGAACAAGAGAATCTAAGGGGAAGTTTTCCTTTTCAAAATATTTTTAATAGAGTAAATCAATGCTTTCTTTACATAGCCAGCAGCATTCTCCCCCTACACCCCCAAAAAAGGTTGAGTGAGGATCTCAATGTGAGAGAAAGAGGTAGCAGAAAGAGGCTTCGCCCCTTTGGGAAAGGTCAGTGTTAAGGTGCAATAAGGAAAAGGAGAGATTTACAATCATCAGCACCACTATCCCCATCCCACCCTCCAAAAGCAACAGATAAATCTTGGAAAATCGACAGGCACTCCCAGGCTGACACAGAGGAGTGAGATAGATGTTGAGGGACCCTTTTGGGCCTCCGGCCTCCATAGCTGTGTGGTCTCAGTTCCCTTCCCTGCCCCGTGTTTGCAGCACAGCCCCTGCCCCTATGTCGACCTGCCTTCCTCAGGTGGAGGCATCTGTACCCTTCTATGACACCCCCAACAATCAGGGTCTAAGATGTATTTTACCCACAACATCTCAGGCCTGTATCTGTATCTATATCCAGGGACGTGAACAAGAACCAAGGTAGCCACGGATTTATTTAACAGAGCACTCTCAAAGCTCAAGTCCATATATAGGGGGAAGGACTTTCCCCTCCTGGACAAAGAGAGGCCCCTCCCATTTTTGTCATTGTGCTAGTAAAAAAGAAAAAAACCCTGAACACAGAAGGGGCAGAAATAATGACCACTGCGATGATATTCCATTTCTGGCCCTTGGGGAAATGTTGTTGTTTGTTTATTTTAAGGGTATTGAGATAGTGTGAATTTTAGAGAGTGCTGTAATTTACTGGAGGGAGGGGGCATAAGACTCAGGGCCCCAAGCAATTGGTGGGAAACTAGATCTCAAAGCAGAAAATGAAAAGTCGATCTAGTGGAAGATTTTTAAATAAGTGGGTCAGAGGGACGGAGAGGAGATGAGGCGATCAATCTTAGCCCCCTGACAGCTCCCTCCGATGGCATCAAAGAATTTGGCTCTTTGGGAAAGTGGAGGGAACAGCCGAAATTCCACATCGCTTTAAAAGGCCTGGGGGTGGGGGGTGTTAGCACAAGGGAAAGGTGATTCTGGGAGTGGGGGGGGTGGGGAACAGATGGGAAATGGGAACAGAGGGAAGGGTGCTGAGTTGGATGGAAAGTTTGTCTGGAGAACTCCCACGGCTCTGGCCTCCCCTCCCCCTCCTGGCTCTGTGCTGCCCAGCAAGGAAGAGAAGGCTGGTTAGCAGAGAAATGGCAACTTAGCCGGGAGCTGGAACTAGAAACTTTCTGTCAATGTAACAGCCGCGTGGGTGGTGGTAAGTATTCATCCGCGTGGGTGGTGGTGAGTATTTAAAAAGAAGGACAGAGACGTCTGAGAAGGGTGGGACTGAAGGAGAGCCAGTTGGAGGTGGCGGCTGCAGAGACAGGGGGTGGCAGGCTCTGGAGGGCTCAGAACAGACAGAACTGCTCTGAACTGGACAAACTGGCCAGAGATGGTTATGTCCAACTCAGCTCCAAAGAAAGAAATTTTTGCTATTTGGAGATGGGGCGGGGGTGGGCACAGAAGAATCCGAGAAGTAGTTGTCTGGAAGTTGTGCAGTGAGGCCTGAGAGCCGGTTCTTCCTCCAGCCACCCCCTTGAGAAGCCTTGGAAGTTTTTTCACAGGCTCTCCAGCTGGCTGCAGGGTCGAGCACTTCTGTCGGCAACAGCCGGCCGAGACTGTCCCTGCAGGAAATACGGCTCTCCCTAACCCTGCTGACAGATTTTACTGCCAGATTAGGGAAGAGCAGAAAACTTGGGTGTTAAAAGGGGCCAAGAGAAAAAGGGGGGGCAAGAGAGCCCTCCCTCCCAGAGACATCGCTTCCCTTCCCCCCTGTTGTGTTGTGAATCGTACAGCACAGATATTCTCCCCCGGACTTTGGCTGCTGAACTAGCGCCCGGAATCTCGCAGAAAGAAGGGTGGGGGACACCAAGCCAAATCGGCTCTTATTTTTCTTGTTTGTATTTCCAGCTTCAAGCCAAAACTGTTTTTCAAACTCGAGCAAAATTCTCTCTTGGCCTGCCTCTCTCCTGCTAGATAAATAATCAATCTACTGCACCCCAGAGCCAAACATGGCGCTTCATCTAGTTACATCATTCAGAAAATGTTATTCAGGGAAGAGGAAGAGAGAAAGAAAGAAAGAAAAACCCTTGAGCGTTATTTGATCCCAATCAAACTTTGCACGCTCTTATGCCTTTAAATTATGGCCTGACCCAATGCTAAATTGCTTGTTGCTTGAATGAGCCGAGTCCAGTTAAAATCCTATGGGGGGGAGGGGACTCAGGTTGCTTTTTTATTGTTATTTATTGTTGCATAAAGATTGTAATTACTAACCTTGGACTGCCAAGATGCAACATAAAAATGAAAATCAGCCCTCGCTTTAAGGATGAGGGCCTGTAACGATTCTCACCGCCACCCCCTCCCCATCACTTCTACCAAATATATGCTCCTAATTAAGCAATGCGGGCGCATCGCTTACAATTAGAATTATGCAACTCTTCAGCAAGCAGCCATCGCTTCTCTTTCAACGAATTAGCTCCATATTTCAGCCGCCCTGTCTCCTCGCTCTTATCGACTCCAGCGACACGGCGGTGACATTTCATCTTTGACAGACCCTCTCTATCCTCGCTCCAACGTGATAAAACTTTTATGGAACCACGACTAAGAAATGAAGTTTTCCCAAGGATGGTGGAAACAGAGCCGCACATTAGCCTGGGGACCATTTTATTTACGCTTGGATCCAACAGCTTCTCCCACCCTCCTCCTCTCCCCTTTCCCTGGGAAGGGAAATCAAATGCGCTTCCTTTCCCTCCGCCCAATTTTTATTTAATGGTTTAATTTCACTTTAGTTTTAAGGTTTGACCTGAGAAGTCCAGGCCTCAGGTTTTTGCTTTTTTGTTTTTTTAGATTAATCATTTTCCTTTGTTTTCATTTTAGACCCAATAGTGGTTGGGCTTCGGGTCACGTGACGACTTCTTTGTAGCTCCGGAAGAGAACTGTGAAGTTTAGGTTGCGTGGAAGGAGCAGTATTCGGCTAGATTTTTGTTCTTGTTGTTGGGGGGGGCGGGGGCGGGGCAAGGAAGTTGTGGCCAAAGAAGCGAGGAGACAAAAGGTCAATGAATGAGAAAATCGGAGGGGCAAAGAAGCCAAACAGAAAACCTAAGAACACCCCAGGGTCCTTCTCCAACTTGTTACTGAAATTTTAGCTAAAGAAGTTGGCAGAATGTTCCAGGCTCGTGTGAGTGAGGAAAACTATAAACCTGAGACACAGTAAGGGGAAGTAGGGGCCTGAGCAGTGGACAAAAAGGCCAGGATAGGGTCTTCAATGTCCTTTTTCCCTTGGGGGAAATTTGGCAGTCAGCAGCCTCCCTCTGCTATCTAAATTGGGCCACCAGGACAAGATAAAATTAATAACAGAAAGTTTATTCAAGAATTGTTTGACAGACAATCCTTTTAAGTAAGGGAAAAAGTAACTACAGAAGAACAAAGAAAGTTCCAAGAGGGAATTAACTCTAATTCTACAAATTCAGGACTATACAGTGACAATTAGGAGCTGAGTTCATGCCTTTTAGAACTAATTACAATTGCTCATAAGTACGAGTTTTAACATAAATCTACAGCTCTTTTCTAGAGTACAATAATAACTAAAATAGCTGGTTTTACATGACAGGAAACACAACGTCCTTTATAACAAGTAAATACTAAAAAAAGTACAGTTTTTTTTCCTTTTTTCCCTCATATAAATACATAATGTAAGGGGATAAATAATACAAAAAAGAAAATATCTTAACAGGCTATAACCAATAAATATATATGAAAATGTTCACTAGAACACACACTTTTTGAGCGACGCTAGACTCCTGCAGGCCCAGGCGTCTCTCACAGTTGTTTTTATATCCATTAAAATGTAAACTCTAAGTGCAACAAAAGTGTCCTGTCAGGGGGTTCAGCAAGGCACACAGGCCCAGCTACAGCCCCTGCTTGGGACAGACAGTTTGTTAAAATATACCCTGTTTTCACGTTAAGTCAAGAGAACAGAAGAAAAGAAAAGGGTAGAACCTCGTGTCACCGATTGCTTTCTGTGGAGAGAGGGTGATGTACTTGGAGCTGAGGATGGGAGGCAGAATGGGCAGACCTTCAGTCCTGACAACTCGCTTGCCCTCACCTTCCAGCTTTTCCATAAAAGAAAAAAATATATAATATAGACACCTCTGACTTTCAGGATCTCTCACCATCCCTGAGCCCTCTGAAAACTGTAATTGATGGGGGTGGGGTATAGATATTAATGTCCTAGAGCAGAAAAATATGGGGCTAGAAAGGGAGTGCCCAATTAACCTCAAATATTGTAGATGGGAGGAAATGAGGCGTCAGGGAAGTGGAAGGAGAGCGTGCTTTGTGCCCTTGGTTTTGAAATGTATTTTCTAATATTTTTTAAAGGAGAATTGCAAGGAAAAAAAAATCAAGGTTTTGGGGAATTACCACAGAGATGGAAGGTAAGTTGGTTGGTTAGTGATGGCCCAGCCATCTTGTTTGTTTTTTAAAATGTGCTTCTCTGCCTTGTTTCCCTACTCTTCTTCCTCTACGCCACTCCGAGCGTGGGATTTCAACTGGGTATTGCTGGAGGGCTAGGATTGATGGGGTCATCTCCAATCTGCTGTGGATTCCTTTCTAATGGGTTGGCAGGCAGATGGAACCAGGGCTGGAGGACTTAAAAAGCAACCTCTCAGGCCAGGGGGAGGGGAGGCAGCTCTGGGCCCGTTCTTCCCAGGAAGGATGGCTGCCACCTCCCTGCCTCCTCTCTCCGATCTCCAGGTTGCCCCTCCTGGCTCTCCCACACCCCATGACCTCGCCCCTCCACCCAACCTCTCCCATCACAGGTGTGTTAATTTGGGCGCTTCTTGGATTCTACCCTGAGGAGGAGGCGCATGGTGAGAGGAGAGGTCTGTGTACGTGGGGTGGGGGTCGCAGGGTCCGTGGTGCTGGCTGGGGGCCATAGGGGGCGCCCCGTTATAGTCCAGGTTCCCAGAGGGGTGGTGGGAAAGGTGGTTGAGGCCGTAGAGGGAGGGGCCGGCAGGTGGCGGCAGCGGATCCGCGTAGCCGCCCCCGCCCACGTACACTGGGCTGCCCTGCATAGTGGGCGTCCCGTAGGCGCCCCCGTTGGCTTGAAGGACGTGGGGCTCATAATCGGGCGCCGGGGTCGGGGGGTACTTCTGCGGAGCGCCGCAGCCTTTGAGAGGGGGCTGGTAGTTGGAAGACAGCGCGTAGGCATTCTGGTGGGCTTTGCCGAAGGTGGGCGGGGACGGGCTTTCGTAGCTGGGGGTCATGGAGTGTAAGGCGTTCATGAAGCCGGCGGTGGACTGCATGGGTTGCGGGGGGCTGCCGGCGGGGGAGGGGCCCCCGGACGACGAGGCCAGGCCCTTGGCCTTCTGGTCCTTCTTGTACTTCATGCGCCGGTTCTGGAACCAGATCTTGATCTGCCGCTCACTGAGGTTCAGCAGGTTGGCCATCTCCACGCGGCGCGGCCGGCACAGGTAGCGATTGAAGTGGAACTCCTTCTCCAGCTCCACTAGCTGCGCGCTCGTGTACGCCGTCCGCGCCCGCTTGGACGCCGTCGACCCCGGGGGGCTCTTGTCCCCTCCCCCGCCGCCACCCCCGCCGCTGCCACCACTGCCTCCTCCGCCGCCACCGCCGCCGCCGCCGCCGCAGCCCTCCGCTGGATCCAAGGGGGAGGGGTGGGAAGAGGAGAAAATGAAATAAAAGATAATTACTGAACACGCCGAAATTGAATGCATCGTTTCTTAATAAATCCAGGCCTGGACTCAGAGCCCTCGCCGCCTCCCCTTCCTGTCCCCGCCTCCTCCTCGCTTCCCCCCACCCCAACGCCCGTCGCATTAGCGGACACTCTATAATAGTGGCATTTATTAAGAGACCTGTTCTCCTCTCGCTGCCCCAGCTTATGAAAATTTGATCATGTCACGCAGACAGAGCCGCATGGCCATTTATTTAGGGCTGGATTTTTCTCGCGCACGCTTTCTCCCCCATCCCCAATTCCAGGTCTGGAAAGACACTTCCCCCTTTCCTGCCCCACCCTGTGGACAGGGTGGGTGGCCGAGGAAGACCCTTGAGAAAATCTGGACATCCGTGGGCAGGGAACAGAAGTGTGGCGCGAAGAGGCTGCCGTGCCTGGAGGCCGGGACCCCGGGCCGCCCGAGCGATTGTGATTAATACCCACAGTAATCATACTTAATAATAATCAATCGTTGACGACTCTGCGTCTACTGGCAGCGTCTCGTGCCTCAGCGGCCTTTCGAAGAGCTGAGGCCGAGCACCTGACCTAGAGCTCTCGGGAGCTCGGCTGGAGGGAGGCTGGAAGGAGAGGGTGTTGGCGGGGTCAGGGGTCATCAGGTGGTTGGGACGTAAGGGAACTGCGCCGCTGCCGCCGCCACCTGATATTGTTCCTAGGCCGCCGCCTGGGCGCCCAGGGGCTAGGTGCTAGAATAACAGTGACATTCCTGGCCCGGACAAAAGCGGACGACGAGGAAGGCAGAGAGCTGGTACCTGTGCCGGGGGAACTGTTTTTCAGCTTGGACGTTTGCCTCGACTCTTTCATCCAGGGGAATATCTGTTTGGTGAGGGTGGAGTTGGAGCCGGGACCGCACTTGGGGGGGCCGCTTTTGCCGGGCCCGCCCCCATTGCTGCTGTTGCTAGTGGTACTGGTAGGTGCGGCGCTGGGCGGGGGTGAGCCGGGTGGGGCGGGCAGGGGGTCGGGGGCCAGGCCGGGCCTCATGCAGCTGCCGTTGAGCTCCTTGCTCTTGGCATGCGGGGCGGCGTTGCCCAGGGACTGCAGTGAGCACGCTGAGCGCTGGTAGTCGCCCTCCAGGTGCGTGGCGGCCTGGAAAGGGGGTTGGGGGGCACCGTCGTAGCCGAAGCCATTGCTGCCAGGGTACGAGTAGCCTCCGAAGAGTGCAGCCGCGGCGTTGTCGTAGTAGGTGGCTTTCTGCATCGCTGGGCGAGGCCCGGGCAGTGCGTGGCAACTTGCAAGGGCCTGATACCCTCACGACCGGACATTGGCACCCCTGGGGGTCACGTGAGGCGCCGGACCCCCCCTCCCCTCTCTGCCCCCCTCCTCCCGGGGTCTGTTCGGAGCGTCTGACCTGCGGGGTGAGAGAAGAGACACAAGGGGGAGAAGAGGACTGGGGCTCGAATCCATCTTAGGAACTGAAAAGGGAACTGACATCAATAGGGTTTTTTTCCTTCTCCCCCACCCCAACATCTTCACAGCAGATGCTGAGGCCACTTCCTGACCTGAAATGGATTTTTCTTATTTCAACGTTTTAATTTTAAAGAAAAAACCCCACCAGTTTTCATTTCCACTTAAAAAAATGAGGACTGTACTCCTTTGGGGACTGGTTAGGTATAGAATCTTACTACTGCACGAGTCATTGCTTTCTCTCTTGCCTGCACACTAGCCCCTGACCTCTCCTCCCTCTCCCTACCTCCCTTCTCCCGTAACTCTGGGATAGGGTGTCTCAAGGGGTGGGGGAGATTGGGAGACTCCAAAATAAAAGCGTCATCAACACCCTCCTCTGAGCTGAGAGGCCTCCTGCCTCCTGCCTTTGCCTCCCTCCATGTCCATCTAGGTCTCTCTCACCCAAGCAGGGTCTCTCCTGGAGGAAAAACAAGATCTCAGAAAGAGACAGAAGGGAGAAGCAAGTTAAGCAGAGAGAACCTTCTCGCGTGAGGGATCCTTTCCTTCCCCTCCCATCTCAGGAAGATAATAATGGCCTAACCTAGAAACTTCCTAAAGATTTTTAACCTCCAGAGCCAGCGGCACTGAGCCTCCCCCCATGTCCCTGCTGCAGGTACCGCCCCCCTCCAGTCTGAGTCGTTGCTCAGCCAAGTCTGGGATACAGCAGCCTGCGTGCGGCCCTCATGGAGCCCCCAGTGGGGCAGGATTGTTTCGATTTTCCTGGCCGGTCTGGTTGGTGCTGTGACCATTTGGCCCAGATCTCCCCACTCCCATTTTTTTTTCATCAGACTTAATTTTCTCCCACCCTTTTCTTGACAGTTTGTTTCCTTTGATTTCTTGAAAAGAAAAAAGAAACTGGGTAACTGCTGGACTTTTTCTACCAAGAGGTAGGAAAAATGCTTTCTAAAAGAGAAAAAAATTTCCTTGGGAGAAAAGAAAGTCAACAAAGCAACCTGAACAATATTCTCTGGGTTGGAAACAGGGTACCTCTGCTTACTGAAGTTCTCTGAGGCAAAAAAAAAAATCATTATTTTCATGCAGCCTTTTAAAAGTGTGCCAAAAAAATAAAGGTTCAAGCTGTAGTAGGATTTTGTGTATTTCTTCTGAAACTTCTGACTTCATTTTTTTTTATCCCTATCTGTCTTCCTCAACGCCTCACCATCACTTTTCATAAAACCTCCAGATTGACCCTCTCTTCTGACATGTGAGTTTGGAATACTTAAATCTCATTCAGCCCAGCTGGCCAACTCCAAAGAAAACTGAAAATAGGAAAATAAAAGAAAAGGAGTATAGGTGAAGGAAGTCCCCCCTACACATAAATCCACTTATTAATGGCACAGATTTATACTCAAAAGAAAGCCGGGGTGGTCCTGAGTTCGGATTGGTTTCCGGGAAGAATTTGTTTCTGGGAAATACACATGGGTCTGCAAAGCAGCAGGTCCTTTCAGGGAGGAGAACTGGAGTTCAATTGACCAAGCTGACCCACTCCCTTTATTATTATTACCATTAGCCTCTGATGATTTAACCAAAATTAGCTTCGGAGCAGCCCTGGCTGAAGGGGGAATTAATTAACAGGCATCAGTTGAGTTTGTTATTAATAGATAAGAGAGGAGAATAAAATAAAAAACGTTGGAGGGGGTTGGCTGGGCCGGCCCGGCTTTATTTGGTCTAAATGATTGTTACAGCGGTAATGATGATAATGATGGTAATAATAATAATAAAACAATAATTTGACTAGACGCCTGGGGCCGAAATTTCTGTCGCTCCCCCTGCAATAAACCCGCAAACCATCGCAGGACCGAGGACAGGCGAGTGTGGGAAACGGAGGAGTCAGAGACGTGTTAGGAAAGAATGGAGACTCCGCCGGTGGCGAGAAAGGGCCCTGAAGATTTGCGGACGGGCTTAGCCCCTGGCTGCCGCCGCCGGGCTGTCTGGGCCGCTGCTGTTGCGGTGGCTGGCGACTAGCTATGCTGGCCCAAGGAGGCGAAGAGAAAGCGTTCAGGATGCCCAAACGGTTAGTGGTGGCAGGTTTCTAGCGCGTCGGGCCGAGGGCCGAACCCTAACGGGCGGCAGCAAGTTTGGGCGCTGGAGGTAACCGAATTAAAAGGCGCTTTAGCAACTCCGCTCCGGGACTTTGCCAGGCCGGACTGGAAGGCGCCGAGGCCTGGCTTACCGGACAGTGAGAAGGGAAAGGTGCCGAGTGGATCCGAGATCTGGGGATTCAGGAGACGAGGGGGTGGGGAGCAGCTCTACCAAGCCAAACATGTCTATTTCCCTTGCCTCCATGTTGGAAAAATCCAGGCTCCATACAGCTTCTCGGGAGGGAGACAAGGAGGGAGACAGTGGCTCCCGGCTCCCCCCCCCCAGGATCTCGCAGGAGTGAGCCACCCCCAAGAACACCACCTTGCCAGGCACACCCCCGGGAGAGCCGAGGAGAGTAACAATAGCTGGGGAGCCCCGGGAGAGGGGATAGTCCACCTACCAGGACTTAAAAAAAATTAATGGAAGAAAAATAAAAGAACAGGGAAGGAAGAGAAAGACAGGTTAAGCTCTTCTTAGCAGCCGGGGGAAAATTCAGCCCTGGATCTGGCTGCTGAAAGAAAAGAGGAGAAAAGGAGAGAAGCAGGAAGAGAGAGGGAGAGGGAGAGAGAGAGGGAGGGAGGGAGGGAGGGAGGGAGAGAGAGAGAGAGAGAGAGTCGCTGCGTGGAAGGAAGCTTAAAGCTTGTGAACTCTTCTTGAACCGAGATTGGAGTCATATGGGCCATAAA